TGGGATGACAAAGAGGAAAGCACTTCAGAGATTTTTATGTCATGAGGCTCTCACCTTCAGATAGACTTTTTTCACGCTGAACACCTCCTCCCCAATTTCTCTGCCCATGTTCTTCCTCAAGCTTTACACCAGATCACAGATGAGACAGGGGGCAATGAAAACAGGAAGGGCTTCTATGGTGCTGTAATGCAGTCACAAAGGATGGCCTGGAGTTTGGCCTGTAGGAAAGAATTTGGACTTTTTAAAGCTCTAGGGCTGCACAGGGCCAAGTAGCAGTGCCTTCAGGACCACAGGAAAGATCATTGGGGAAAGGCCATGCAAGAAGGAATGAAGGCCCTACCAAGACTGTGGAAGACCAGCAGCCTGGGCCTGGGCTACTTAACTGCATCTCAGACTGAAGTGTGGGTGGGAAGAAAAATTCAGGGTCAAGTGTGTAACAGAAGCAGTTCCTTGTTAGGTAGAGAGGGCTACTTACAGAGAAACTAGAAGAAACCGGAGAGTAGTGTGGATCTTTACCCCGCACAGAGCTTGTTACTTGTACTGGGCTCATTACCACCTTTCTTGGGAAAGATGGAGGAGAGCACTTGGCCTTGAGGCCTCCACTTAGAGACCATGTGAATTTGGGCAAGCCGCTTCCCAGGCTTGGGTTTTACATGTGTAAAAACGGATAATGACACTTAGCTCCTAGGACAACTGTGAGGATTATTTATACTGTGTGTAAAATACCCATCAATGTAAAGGTTCTAGATGCCAAATAAATGGTAGCTATCATCCAAATCATTTAGTGCTGTGGTTTTCAACCCTGCCTCATGTTAGAATCACATGTAGAACTTATAAAAATACCACACCCAGGCCTAGATCAGTTAAATTAGAATGTTTGAGAGTTAATTATCAGATTTTCCTCCTGTTAAAGCTGCAACTCCTCCTCTCCTCTCTCCAGGAGATTCGTGGGTAGTTAGGGATGCAAACTACTAAATTTATTTTAGTCAAGCTGCTAGTCCTACTGGAGCTAGGGGAGAGTTGAGCAATGGACTGAGATCACACAGATAGTCCCATGAACAGGTAAGGCCCCAGATTCTCCAGCAGGGATCTTCTCTCTCGGTTGGGGAGGTTTGCCCCCATACCCTTGACTTTTATTTATTTATTTTTTTAGCTGAGCCATCGTGCCACCCATTGGCAGTTCAGCTCGGGCCGGGAATCGAACCGGCAACCCTGTTGCTCACAGCTTGCACTCTTGAGTGAGTGCTTAACCAACTGAGCCACCTGGCTGGCCCCCACCCTTTACTTTTGTGCTTAACACAGAAGAAGTGAACAGGAAGTTTTTGTTCGTTTTGTGGGGCTCAGGGAGAAATCAAGCGCCAACTCCTGAACTAACTAGAGCTCAGGGAGTGCAGAAGTGCCCGGTGGTCCCATGGCACACAGCGGAAAGCGCTCGGACTCCAGGCTCTTCCCCTGGGCTCAAGACCCTTGAGCCCCCAGGCCAGCTCCTCCCTCTCTGAGAGGCTAGTAGCATCAGCACTGCCGAGGCCCTCCGAGCCGCAGAGCCGACTGAGGACTCCTACAGCGCACAGGGCGCTACGGACGTAATCCATACGTCACTCCAACGTACCCACCCTAAGCTCGGACTCCAAAACAAAAGTTTCCTGACCAGCTCCGACCCTGCCATTGGCTTTAACCTTTAGTCACATGATTTATTCGAACCAAAGAGAGGGGACGGAAGTAATACTTCCGCTTTCTGTACGTCTAACGAACCACTGTGCCCGCCTTCCCGTGCTCTGATTGGTCATCTTTTCTCAACTCGCTAGTTTATTGGCTAGCGCTGCGAGGCGCAGTCCAGCGGGTCCGGCAGTCTGCTGTGTCAGACAACCGGGCTTCCATGGCGTCCTATTTTGATGAACACGACTGCGAGCCAGCGGACTCCCAGCAGGAGGTCCGAACGAACATGTTGCTGGAGCTCGCAAGGTGGGTTCGCGGGGCTGGGAGGTGGGGCGAGGCAGCAGGTTTCGGGGCTGGGGCTGGCTGGGAAGGCGGGTTATCTGAGGCAGCAGATCCTGGGGAGGACGGATGAATGATCTGGCGAGTCAATCCCGAGGCTAGATTCGATGAGAGGTTGATAATCTGGACCCTCCGTGGGTCGTCCAGGCCAGAGGATTCTGGGAAAGACTAAAGCTGGAGTATGGGGAGTCGGGGGTGGGACGGCAGCGGGCTCTGGGTGGTACAGGAGAAGGCGGGTCATGGGGACGGGATAGGGGTCTTGTAGATGTGAGTAGGGACATTCTTTAGGAGAACCAAGCATGCCAACAGTGCCACCTGGAATCTGGCTTTACCAGGTCATCCCTGAGTGTCCTGAGTAACTTCTCGGAGCCTGATGCCTCGTGTAAAACGGGAATAAACAGCCTGCGTGTTTGGGGTTGTCTGATAGCAGCTGTTAAACGAATTCTCACTTTGCTTTTTATCTAGTGAGCACTACTGAGGGGGTAGCTAGTATTATTACTAGCTGGGCAGGGCATTTACCTGTTAATTTGTAATGAATTGTGGGGGCAAAGAGAAATTCTGACCTTGCATTTTTATTCCCAGATCACTGTTCAATAGGATGGACTTTGAAGACTTGGGGTTGGTAGTAGATTGGGATCACCACCTGCCTCCACCTGCTGCCAAGACTGCTGTTGAGAACCTCCCCAGGACAGTCATCAGGGGCTCTCAGGCTGGTAACACTAATTTTTCTGATCTTTGGGGCAGGTCTGCCAAGCCCAGCCCTTCCCAAGCTAGACTGTGGACTGGTCTTCCAGTTTTCCAGGCCTCGTTGGGGCAAGTGTGTCCTTTAGGAGTGGGAGCTGGGAGGTGCGGCCTGATAGCAGCTCTCCTGATAAACACTCCCTCCTAAAGAGCTCAAGTGCCCCGTGTGTCTTTTGGAATTTGAGGAGGAGGAGACGGCCATTGAGATGCCTTGCCATCACCTGTTCCATTCCAACTGCATTCTGCCCTGGCTAAGCAAGGTACTGCTTCCTTTCTCTCAGCCATCACCCTGCTCAGTTCTCAAGACCCTTTCTTTTTATGACTGTTGCGGGAATCAAAAGGGAGAAGGGTTGGGGGGGAGAATTGGGAGCTGGGGATGGATGTTAATTTATGAAGACCAGGTCCGGGCTGGAACACTGCCCTGCTTTTTCCAGACAAACTCCTGCCCCCTGTGCCGCCATGAGCTGCCCACGGATGATGACACTTATGAGGAGCACAGACGAGATAAGGTAGGGGCTGGTGGTATGTGGAGGGGGTGGTAATGGAGCTCCCTTAGCATGTCCTCGATGCTCTCATCTCCCACCCCAGCAGGCCCTGATAGGCCTTAGGTCTCTGGCTGCCTTCTCAGTGACTGTGGTGAGGGGCAAGAGCCTTAGCAACACAGGTGCCAGGGACCTGAAAACAGTGAGAGCCAGCTCCATGATAGCTGCCTCATCCCTTCACCTATAGGCCTTCAGGTATGGCCCCTGCCTCTTTCCTTCAGGCTCGCAAGCAGCAGCAGAAGCACCGACTTGAGAACCTGCACGGAGCCATGTACACATGAGCGGCTGGGGCTGAGTGCCCGTCCTCCACATCTTTCTCTTGCAACTCAAATCCTCATTAAAGTTTTCTTTACCCACCCTGTGGCTGCATTGCTCACAGGCCTGGGCAGGGGCTCTATACCCTCCCCTAGGGCCATACTGCTATTGGGGAAGGTGGGCCTGGACTGCCGAAGGTGCCAGGCTGTGTATCCCTCCCTGCCAAGTCTGCTGGCCTGAAGGCAGTGGAGTCCAGATCAAGAATTTGGCCACTGAACAGGGCTTGGGCCTATGTGTTCATGGTTGGAAAGCAAAATTGTCACGGTCTAGCTACTTAAAGATGGTAAAGAAAAACTAGTCTGCATCCCTCTCCCCCTATAAGTTTTAGTCAAGCTTGGAATCCCAGGGGCTTTTTTTGCTTGTAACATTTTAAAGCTGCTCTCTACACCACCCCCTCCTCATATCCCCTTATACTAAGGAATCTAACTTCAAACCAGACTAAGTAAGGGAAGGAAGTGTGAAATGTTCAGCTCAGTCAGTTCTTTAGACTGCTTAAAGGCTAGAATAGCTTCAAGTCCTTGAGGGGAATTTGGCTAACACCTGGCATACTTTGTTCCTCGCAGTCCTGCTCTCAAAAAGCAGTGGGCACTCAGGACTCTCCCTAGGGGCAGAGGCTTCTAGGGAAAGTTGGCCTGAATCAGGCCCGCTCTGACTCTCCAGAATAGACTACAAACATGCAAATTAGAATTCTTTTAATATATATATATATATATATAAAAAAGTACTAAAGTACCCATGTGGTTCTGCTGTGTTATTTGCCCTAAAGAAAGTAAGGGGCAGACGGAAGAATCCCAGTGCAGTTCAGTGGGCCTTCCCACAGACTTAAGGAGTGCTCACCATCCTGCCCCCAACTTCTATCCCTCTTGCTGTTCCCAGCCCCCAATTCCTGCAGCAGGAAACCCCAGTGGTCTGGCCTCAGCCCTGGGGAATAGAAGGCACCTGAAGGGCTGGCTGGGTGACTGAGGATATGTGACCTTTAAACATAACACTGCAGAGTGGGGAGCGGGTCCTGCGCAGCTCAGGCAGCTGCCAGGGCCTGCTCCTCTATGGCACAGGTGGGTGTGGGATGGCCACTCCTTCAGGAGTGAGGAAGCCTATATCCCAACAAAATACTTTCTCAAAATTATTTTTGGTACAAAATAAATGCAAAGAAGACATGGGGTAGGGAGCAGCAGAAGCCGGGCCAGCCACCCTCCCCAGACCTTCAGATCATGGCGACGCTCTCAGGGGCACAGTTGAGGTGAGTAGAGGTGCTACTATTCCCAGAGGACTTGCAGGCCCGGCCAGTGGCAGGCTGCAGTGCAGCCACCAGTGTCTCTGAGGAGACTGCCCCAAACTCATAGCAGAAGGTGCCATAGAAAACAAGGATGTCGATGACAAACACCCACTCGCACAGGGCTGCCCCGTGCTGCAGCTGAGAACTCTCATGGATGAAGAAGACACCACCTGGAACGGGGCTAAGGAAATGTTCAGTAGGATGTGTGGGAGCCTGATGACACCCCTTCTGACTTCCCAGATATATACCTAGGGTAGGGCAAAGGACCAGGCCTCACCTCCCAGGAGAGGGAGCAGAAGACCACACTAGGCATGTTACCATCCCCCCCACCCCGCCCCCACCTTGCGTGAGAGAATGGCTGGGCTAGAGGATGAGTTCCTGGCTGCCCAATCCTTGGAAGGATACTGAGGACCAGGGTCACAAAGGCAATGGCTGCCAGCACAATCCGCAGGTAGGCCATAGCCAGGTCCTGGGGGGCGCTGGCCCCATGGTAGGAGAGGACACAGTGCAGGCAGACAAACAGCAGCCCAGCAGGGAAGGCCACACCAGCTCCGATGTAGTGCAGAGACTTCGCATGATCCACCTGGGCCCAGAAAGAGGGGCTGGTCAGCGAAGCAGTCCCACTCCTCCACCCCCACCTTCATACCTCTTCTCCCTTCTCCACCACATTTTCTGTCTAGGCCTTCCTTCCTCCACCCTCAACCTTAAGGGGCTGCCTCAGCAGCTTAGGTCAACCCTTAGAGACTGAGGGTTCCTTCAGACAGCCAGGCCCTGTTAGGGGAAGTTCAAGAGGCGGGTAGGCAGGTGTACCTGGAAGTTTCCGACCACCACAAGGCCTGCAGCGTTGGTGCAGCCTGTGATGAGTGTTGTGGTGTTTATCCAGGAATGACGACTCTGCTCCAGGAACTGCCCGTAGAGCAGGAGGCAGATCAGAGCCACTGGGGGAGGAAAGCATGGGTGGGGCCAGCACTGGTGCCTTCCTCTGCCATGGTCCAACCTAGGAGCCTGCTAGCTCCCATCCCCCAGACACCGAGGGCCAGAAGGGAATAGATGGGTGGGTGATGAAGTGGGTTTTCTTTTTTTTAGCTGAGCCATCCTGCCACCTGTTGGCAGCTCAGTGGCAGCTCAGCTTGGGCCAGGAATCGAACCGTTGTTGCTCAGAGCTCAAACTCTTGAGCAAGCTCTTAACCAACTGAGCCAGTTGGCCGGCCCGAAGTGGGTTTTCTCTGGCTCCAGCCAGCAGGGTGGCTGTGTGGGATTCAGCCGTTGGCCCCTCTTGCTTTAGCCCTTGGATGGGTAGGCTGTGCTAAGCAAGAGCTTCCTGGGCCCTTCTGCGGGGAGGGAGTGTGGGGGAGGGCTGGACTGGGCTGGGTAGGGGGGCTAAAGGCACAACTCACCCATGAAAGCACCCACGTTGCCAATGAGGCTGAAGAGGCAACTCTCTGGGGGATATGTACCGCACTTGCTGAGGGGAGGAGGGCAAGGACAGAGTGAGGGGGAGGAGCACCCCATTCTGGTCCACTTGCTCTCTCGCTTTATTTGTACCTGATTTAAGCCACTGATTTATGAGAAGGGTCAGTGTCTCTCACAAACTGGCTCCAGGCTGATGTCCTCTCCCTCCCTCAAAAAAGCAGAGCTTGTGTGTGACAGGTTAGGGAATGCCCAGAATTGCTTGGCAGACCCCGAGACTCCTTGGACTCCCTGAGACTGTCAGGGCCTGTGGCTGGTTTGGCTTTCCTTGAGCTAGAACTTGGGCTGGGCGATCAGAGGGCCTGAGTTTAAATCTAGGTGTCTCTACTTACTAGCTATGTGACCTGAATGGATGGCATAGCTTAGTCTCAGTTTTCTTGCCTATAAAATGGTGAAAACAATAGCTGCCTCACAGTAATTGGCAAGTAGTACTGTTATTATGTGCTCTTAATATAATTATTATTTCTGTGAGACCATTTGGACAGGCCTTTGCTTGAGGGGCTGGGCTGGGAGTCTATCAGGGCCTTGGGTATCTCTGACCTGCCTAGTTTCCAGGCCTTACCTGATGAGGGGGACATCATCCAGGGTGCAGCAGGTCTTGGGGCCCCCTTCCTCAGCGGGGTCAGGAGAGCAAGACTCGTTGTAGGACCTGGCAGGCAGGAACAGAGAGTAGACTGGGGGAAAGGGATTCCCCTAACCCCTCGGCCTATACCTCAGGCCTCTCAGGTGCCACCCTCCCAGACCTCCCTTTTTAGGAGCAGAAGAGCCCACTTCCCAAGGCCCGCCTGAGACAGAAGCCAAAGGGGCGAAGGGATGGTGGGAAGCAGGTAAGTGGGCACGAAGCCATGCCTGGGAGGGGCAGGCGCGCCAATGTCAGAGGAGAGCAGTGAGGCCCAGGGTCTCCGTCTGGCTCGTAGCAGCCCCGGCCCAAGAGGGAACAGAGATGAAGGGAGCTTTAGAATGAAGATGTCTGCAGAGTGCGCCATACCAGTTCTCCACAGGGCACACGTGGCGGTTCATCACGGCCATGGCGTACCTGTGGGAGCAGAACTGTCACCCTGCCTCCATGACCCTCTCAGCCCAGCCTTCTGGCACTGACTCCCCCCTTGATTCTGGCCTCATTCAGCCTCATTGTCCTTGCTAGGGACTCAAGTTGGCATGCTCTGAGGCCTGACACCAGACCAGAACCCACAGCAATGGCCCCAAACTAGAGGACCTCTGGAAGTTGCCCTGGCTAGAAGTATGTCTGTCAGGGCCACCCTGTTGGAAAGCAGTGGTGCCACCTTGTCGCAAGGGGCTGTGTGCCCAGGCACCAGGCTGGGCTTTGGAGACAGCCAGAGTGACCCCAGGTTTCACCCTGGGGACTGCCACAGGACGAGGGACTTTGTGTGTGCCATCAAGCTCCTGTTGGGTTCTGGCTGGGCCCCCTGTCCCTCCTCAGCCTGGGCCCATTTTGTCCCCTAATTGTCTTCCCCCTCTCCCTCTTTACTCACACAGTCCATAGGCCAGTGATGGAGAATGCTGACAAGCTGACAGGAAGGAGGATCCAGGCGGTCATGAGGGAGGGAAGCCAGGGTGGTGGTGGTGTGGGGGGGATGGCAAGAGGTAGGTGGGGAAGAGGGGGCGGGCCCAGCTACCTTAAGAGACTTCGTCAAAATCATCAACTGCCCCAGGCCTGGTGGAGAGAGACAGGTCAAAGTCCAGGGTCCAGTGAGTGGCCAAAGCTGGGGGCAGGGCGGGAAGGGGTGGGGGAGGTGGCGGCGGAAGGTGGTTACCACCTGATTTCGAGCTCCCGCCTGGGTTCGGAGCGCCCACACTTTGTGGGCCACCTCTGGCATCCACCCGGAGCCTCTGCGTCCCACCCAAATGCCGCCAGCCTGCTCAGGGGCTCAGGCGGGCCGTAACATCTGGACAGAGTCAACCTCCCTCGCCTGAGGGAGCTGGGCTGGGAACCACGCTGCACTTAGGACGGTCAACGGGCCACGCCAAAGAAAGCCAGGAGCGGTCGGGGCCCGGTGGAGGATCCGCCGCGCTCAGGCAACCACGCCACCACCGTGCCTGGGGAAGAGCGGGCTCCTGCGGGAAGCCCAGCCCGGCGTCCGCCCGCGTGGGCGCCAGGAGCCCGCGGCCGAGGAGCCCCCGGGCCCGGGACATTACCTGCCTCCGGTGATCCCTGGGGGTCCCGGGAAAGGGAGGGGCCCAGTACATACCTCCCCGGAGTGCCCCGCCGTCGCTGCGTACTGCTCGGCCCCCGCTTGGCGCCGTCCCCGGCTGCGGCCCTCCGAGTGGCCCTGCAGGTTTAAAGGGCCGACGGCCCCGCCCTGCGCCCCAGGCCGCGCCGCGCCGCCCGCCGGGACCTGGAGTCCGCACTGTCCCGACCCCGGCGCCGGCGCCGGGCCCCGGACTACAACTCCCGAGGTCCCGCGCCGCGTCCCGGTGCAACGGGGGTGACGCCCCAGCTTCGGGACCTGGGAGCGAGGGCCGTGGCGTGAAACTCGAGTGGCGGCTCTGACTCCGAGATGCCGAAAGGATAGTCCTGTTGCCCCTGTTCCTGCGGTGGAAGCTCTGGGAGATGGGAAGCTCGGGGGTTTGCACCGCCTTCCAGCTCCATCTGTGGTCGTCACCGTGCACGTGGCTGGAGGAAGCCTCCCTTCACCGCAGGGCACCTTCTGCAGTCCTACAGGCCTACAGTGAGACTTTTCAGGTCATCCCCCTCAACGTGGCGCCCTGTGCCTGCCTCTAAGGCGAGGCGGGTCCGCAAAGTCTTGGCTGCCAGTTCCTTAAATTTAAGTATTTGGCTTATGCTTCCCTCCACCCAGCAAACTTTGGAGGATGCTTTCACCGGATACATTTTCAAGGGTATAAGTACACAGAGTACTGTCCATAAGTCAGTGTCCAAAACATGTTTCCTGACTGCTCAGCGCTTACTTGAAAAGGCCGCAGAGACCAAGGGATATCATTCTAGGTAGATACACATGGTCAGGTGATGGTAGGCAACAGAGGAAGGTGAGAGACCCAGAGCAATTTTGGGAAAAGGAAACAGGATAGTGTGGAAATAAATTCCACCAATTTCACCAAAACTTATAGGCCAAGAGAGCCCCTCCTGGTTCCTTTCCTAACGAAAAAGGTGGAATATTTCCTTGCACCTACCAGGAGGGTGCCTGGCACTCTAAAAGGCAGCCCAGCATCTGTTGGGAGCCCTTGCCAGACAACATGGGCCAACACCTGAAGGGAGCATGGGCCCAGGCGACCAGTAGGTGGGAAGCTGAACTTCCGCAGCATTGATGAGGCAGGCAAAGGTAAAACAGGGCCCTGTTCTGTGGGGGGACATGGTACAGATAAGCTGGACAATGGCACGAAGAAACCTTTTTGGACCCAGTGGCAGGTAAAAAACGGAAAGAGGAAACCCGTTGGAGACCTTACCAAATTGTATCAGGACAAGTAGTTAAAGCAGAGCCAAGAAGGATGGCTTTGCAGAGCAGTCACTATAACACCGGCTGAATGGACCCGTGGGGTGTAAAATGCAGTCTACCTTCTGCTGGCCATGCTCCGTGCCCCAGGACAAACGGGTGCCTTTAATTCACAGAGGCACCATCTTCCTGCCCATTGGAGCAGGCCCCCTTTTCTCATCTGCCTTATGGTGCCATGAACCCTAGCATTTCCTACCTCAGTAGCTTTGTGCTTCTTAATCAACACTTACTATATCCTGTTGATCTGGGTTTGCATGCCTGTCCAACCTTTATCACGGGGGAGGCCGGAGAGGACTATTCAGGTTCTAAACCGGCTGTTCTAACATGAAGTGGGTAGGCCAGACAGGTACTCCAGAGCTGCGGCAAGGAGGCAGATTTTGGCTTAATGTAACAATCTGAGTAGTCCCTAAAACAGAATTACCCCAAGATAGAGCTTCCTGTGACAGAAGGGCTCTTCATGGGTAGCTGATAGAAAAGAGTTACGTTATCAGACAAGTAGGACCAGATGTCTTTTAAAGTCCCTTCCAGCTCTAAAGCTACGTGAGTCTAGATGTTATGCTCCCACCAGGACAGTTCTTAAAATAGTCAGGCAAAGCAAGAGATGAGATTTCAAGTGCTGATTCTGTGGTGCTGAATGACTCTGGGGCAGGCATTTAATCTTCCCTTACGTACACAAGTGATTTCACAACTCTTGGCAAAAAGTGCTGTAAAAATAGTAAGTTTATTGATTAAAAAGAATATCGTCTTTGAAAAGTAACTTCCTTCCAAGATTTTCCAATTATTTGCATACTCCACTTTATTCATCCACACAGCAGAAACATTGAAATGAGAAAACAAGAGAGTATGGCTTTTTATACATTTAACACAACACAACCAGTGTAACTAGTCTGTCATTCTGGTGGCTCTGAGAAGGCAGAGGAGCCATTCACTCAGGTTTTCACTTCTAGCATCACTCCAATCACTGGGGAAATGTGGGGTGGATGCCTATGGCTTCTTAGCCACCTAATTCCTTAGGGAGGGCAGGAATTCAAGGAGGGAGCTTGAGATGTTTCAAATAATTGTCAACATTCCATGGTGATTCTCCCAAAATGCAGCTCAGAGGTAGGAAAATAATCTGTCCTTATTCCTTCTTCTATATGTAAAGGCCTCATTTACATTTGTAAACCCACTGAGGGTTCCACTACCAGGCCATTCAACAGATGTAGCCAAATGCACAGCAGGTTGGATATTCACTACACCAAAAAGTTTCTTCCAGCTCCTCAGGCTAATCTCCAGCTGGCAGTACCCCTCCGGGTAGACTGTGGAGACGGAATGTCCCTTTCAGAGGCTCATCCATAGGGAGTAGCATTTGGTCTAGCCCATGCTGGTCCTTCCTGCTGGCTGGCTAGGCTCCACTGGCTCCTCCTCTCTCAATACAAAAAGCTTTACAATCTTTTCCTGCTTTACATTCGTCAAAGATTTCCATGCTTGCCAGCTGGCTGGAACTCGAGCTTTCGTGTTTATTCTTGCACAGCCCAAAGTCCCTGCAAACCCCAGCTTCCTTCTATTTGTAACATTACCTACCCACTGTGGCCCAGAAAACACAGAACCTTAAAATCCAAGGCTTACCCTCAGTAAGTGAAAAATACTTCATTTTGGATGGGCATGAGATATGCCTATCAGCCTACCAGACAATATTTTGTTTTTTTAGACAGCCAAGAATGTGTCTAGTCAAGTGAGTGCTGAATCTGAAGCAGCCTGATGGAAAGCCCCAGCTAGTCCACACTGTTGCCACTGCACCACACAACATGGGACAGTCCTCTTTGGGACATTCTCTAGAGCTTGTGGGAAATGCTCTGAATGTGTTTCTTAATGGCAAAGCACCGATTTTTGAAAAGAGCTGAAAGATGTCTAGAGGTTAAGTCTGGTGAATAAACTGAATAGTACCATCTTGGATGAGATGAGGGGTGGCAATAAGCAATGAGCCTGAGCTACAAGGCTGTCAACTGGCGGAGGGCCATCACCCAGTATTTCAGGCATGCCTGGAACAATGGCAGCCTCACCAATAGGCCTGCTCTGAAGGACAACCTCTCATTTAAGTACCAGGCTTAGTGCTTTATAGGGTCATACTGCATAAATTAGCTAAGAATTAGAATGCTTTCTTGGGTGGAAAATATTTTATATGCACTTGATAAGCAAAGTGCCTCAAGAAGATGATTACACACAAGGAGTTCCCATCAATTTCTTACCTGAGTGTGTGAGGATTACATGACAAACACATAAAGACAATAGGTACACGTTTCCCTTCTCACAAACCAGGAATGGAGGCGAAATTTCAGGTGCTATGCCCCCAACCTCCTCTTCTGGTCTTGTTTCTAAATTCGGTAATAAATCCAGGAAGCAGGACATCCAGCTGTGAGAAGACAGACCCCAAAAGTATTTCAAGACTGGCAAGCCTAAGCGCTCCAGTGAAATCCTACGTCCAAGTCACATCAGATGAAGAGCTGGAAGACTAACATGACTGGTCCTCTGAGCTGCAGGGAGATCAGGATGATGGTATAGCCTCCTTAACCCAGGAGGCTCTGGAGGGTAGTTAACATTATAAGTTGAAAGGCACTTCGAGCCCAGCTGTATAAACAGAGGGCAGACTTTCTCATCTAAAAGTAGAACTGAGCCCAGGACTGGTAAGTTGGAGGCATTTAACCTTGGGCCAGCTCTGTGGGTCAGGAGCACTCTGGTCCCTGGCTGCCTTCACAACCAGGCCCTTCTAACTTATCCACGTTGCTCACTGCCCCAGCATTCTTCTGTCACTTCAAGCTGGGGCTTGCCGCAATTTAATTATGTAGTATAAGAGTGCCCTCCGGCGTCCTTTAAGAGAAAAGCTGGTGAGATGCACCAGCCAGACTGATCTTGAAACTCTGATGTGGAGAAACCCCTGGGGCAGGGGACTTTTTTGTTTGAAGAAGTCTCAGTGCTCATCGGCTCACGTAAAACCCAAATTTCAAGTCACTGAGATTAGGCTGATGTGCTAGAAAATTGAAGTGGCTTGGAACTGCAGTGCACAGGATGTCTTGTGGATTTCTCAGACCTTAGCTAACCCTGCATTAGGAAAAAATGTTCACTTAGATGAAAGCAGTGACATTCCTGGGATCTTTATTTTAAGGATCTCTTGGGAATTTATATACTCTCGGGAGGTAGGAAAGGAGAAAGCATAGAGACGAGGAAGAGGCTCATTATACTCCCTCTGGCGTGTTGTTTGGGTCTTTTTTTGTTTGTTTGCAACTAGGGTTCCAAACAGGCAATTATTGCTAATGTTGAATTTCTCTTTGTACGTATATTCAAGAATGTTAAATCACATTTGGAGAGGCAGTTTCAAGCTTGTTTTGAAAATTCCCCTTTAGGGATGAGGTTGAAAGCTAGAATTCTATAGTCTTAACCACGGGAGGTTTTGCTGCAAGAAATCCTTGCAGTTTAGTTCTGGCATCATCTTCCCAAGTCTCCTTTATCTAGACAGTGCAAATCAGTGGGGCTGACAAACTTGCAAAATCCATGGAAGGGGAGGGAGACATGCTTGCAAGTCAGACCCCAAAATGAAGATCTCCCACTTTATTGGTATCAGAATTTCTGGGAGAGCTTGTCAGAAAGGTAGAACCCCCCCAATCCCCACACCTCCAAAGTCCTGAGCAGCTGGAGGTGCGAAGAAGTCATATTGGGAGGTCGGGGGTGGATGGAACTGATGAACTCTGATACAAAAAGATGAAGAAAAGGAAAGAACAGAGAAACAAAGCTGAAAAAAATATTGAGGAAACCATGAATGGAAGTGAGCAGAAGCACAGTAGCAAAGAACCATAAAATAGCAAACATGGCTCAAAGAGCTGGGTGGAGCAGCAGTAGCCAGGTGTCCCAGGGCACATGAACTCAGTGAGAAAGCATGTTGGCACAGGCTTCATAAACCTCAGCTCTCCCTGGAGTCTCTGCTTTCAGAACACCAAGCTAGCCAAACAAAATTCTCAAAAATTCCAAAATATTAGGCTGGTCAGATGGGCCAATACCCAAGAAACAGTGGCTACCAGGGAGGTGGCCAGGCATAGTCCCTGCAACACTCTTTTCCTGTGGATGCGGCAGCTGTGGGGTATGAGTATGTGTGTGTGTCTCAAGATCAGCCCAGACTGGTTCTGGCACCCCCAAATTAGGGGTGAGCTCCCTGGGCAGAGTCTCGCCTGCTGGGAATGCCTTCAGCCTGGTCAGTGTCGGCTCTGGCGCTTTGCAATCTCCTCCTGGATGCGCAACTCGAGGGCCTCTCGCATGGATGGATCCAGAGGCGTGTGTGCTGACACTTCCTCACTCACCCTTCCTGGGTCATCGTCCTACGTGGAGGAAGAGTCAGGAAGCTCAGGGCCTGGCCTCTTCTGGAAAGCGACCTGCCCTGTCCCTAGACAACACTCTCAAAGAGCTCTATCTGACTCACAGCTTCTTGCCAGTGCCTGTCATTTCCCAGGTATCCCCTGTAATAGTGATTCTAAACTGAGGGCCATGAGCCCCCCCTGATGCCCACTGAGAATCACCGTGTGACACAGAAGTGAGTTGTGCTCAAAAGCACTGCCCAGCAAGCAGTCTATGCTCCCACGTGGAGCAGACACTTCCCATTGGCCCTGACGAAAACAGTGGCTCAGGGTCTGACAGTGATTTCTACCATGTCCCAGGACCTTCAGGCTGTAGCTGTTTCCTGATACAGGCGTACCTGATACACGATAACTGATGTGACTTCTCCGCTGTCTGCCTCATATTCTAAGCAGAAGAGCTGATGGCCAGGAGGCTCTGGCTCGGAGCCACCACTACTGCTGCCTTCACCGGACTCTTCACAGTCTGGGTTGCTTGGGTGAGTAGTGCCATCTGGAAGGATGAACCAGAGTGAGAGGGAAAAGAGGAAGGCTGCTGACCACAAATAAAAGCCCCCATCTTTTTAGGGAGAGTGAGAGTGAGAGAGTGTGTGAGTGTGAGTGTGAGTGTAATGTGCCGCCACTTAGTTTTATTTACCTTTGTACCCCTGCTCCAGGGCCAGCACAATCCTGTCACACAGTAGGTACACAATGCACATCTGTCTAATGAATACGGTTGGGAGGTAGTTGAAAGACAAAGAGAGCTCTGTCTGGGTTCAAATCCAGGCTCTGCCATTTATTAGCTCTGAGATTTTGGGCAAGTTACTTAACCTCTCTGCACCTGTTTTCCTCACTGTGAAACAGAAGTGATTAACAGTTCCTAACTTACGCAGCCCTATAAAAACATATGACTTCATGTGCAGAAAACCTAAAAGCGCTCAACGACTCTAGCGTCATGTATTAATTGTTGCGATCGCTAGGTTCAGGGAAGCTGGGGGAAAAGGCCTTTTACTGGGTTTGGCTTGCCTGTTCCCAGATATGTCCTGAAATAGTCCTGTTTAGCTGGGGGCCACGAGCCCTTCCTTTACTGTTCTCCACGGGAAAAAAAAAATCACTGAGCGGATATTGGGGAGCGTCGAGGTGTAGGTTCCAGGGAGGGGGCGGGATGAACTGAACCCTGGGGAATAATAAGGTTTTTTTCCCTCCCCATATAGAGAAGGGGAGTGTGTTGAGGCTGATGGCCGGTGGCCAGTAGAGAGCGCACCCTTGGAGGCAGGCTGGACAGGCGGCCTCACCTCGGTGTCGCGGCAGGTACACAGGTAGGTCAGGCTTGCGAGGCCTCGTCGGAGCGGGCGTGTGCCGCCTTCTCACCTTCTCCTTGGCTGCCTGCTTCACCTTCTTGTCGTAGTCATCCCTGCGGAGAGCCGAGCGGGAATCAGGGACAGCCCGGCTGAGCTAGGCTGGGGGTGGGGGACCGGCGGGGGCAGGGCGGTACCGGGCGAGCTGGTTCCGTCGGATGTGGTGCACGAAGCCGTGGCTCATGTCCAGCCGCCCGCCAGGCTTGCAGCAAAGCCCCGGCCCGGGATCCGGCGTCGCTTCCATCTGGAGCCCTGGGCGCGGAGCCGCCGCCGCCGCCGCCACGGCTCCAGTAGTCACCCTCCCGCCGGGAGAGCTCTGCACCGCCCCTCGCTCGCCTTCCGGTCTCGCACCCCGACCTTCCGTCCCGAAAGGGCCGTGAGGCCGAGCGGCGCCGCGCGCTGAGTTCCAGGCTCAGATTGGGAGGGTGGGGCGTGCGCCAGACTTTTCACGCCCTGGGCGGGACTTTTATTTTCGTTGTGACATTGTGGGGAAGAAACAAGATTTTAGGTTTACTGCTGATACGTCAAACAATTCAGCAATCATGACACCACTCAGTGTTCGGTGTGGAGCTTTTCCGTCTTTTCCCGAACTTTATTAGCTGCACGACTTCGGCTGCCTACCGAGCCCCGCGGTGCCTCAGTTTCCTCATTTGTAAATCAGGACTCGAAGAGCACCTACCTCAAGAGAGGCTGTGAGGTGATTACTCTGGAAGGGCCCCAGCGCCGGAGCTTTGCAGCCGTCCTGCCGACTGCCCAGCTCGGCGCCCGCCAGCCAGATGTCTTAACTGCTCCTGCAGGAGGACTCTGGGCTTTTTAGGAGTCTGAGCGTGCGCCACTTTCGAGAACTCCTTAAAAAAATAGACAAAATTAGGATTTTGTAATTAGAACTGGGACAAACTGGTGTCCCCACACAATGGCATACCGCGGAACCAGTCAAAGGAACACGCTGTTGATACAAAGTGGATGAATCAAACGCGCCAAGGCAAAGGGGCTGCGCCAAAAAGGTCACCTGTGTGCTTCCGTGTATACACGACTCTAGAAAAAGCAAACTACCCTGTAGCGACAAAGCAGACACCGTTAGGGAGGTTCATTATCTCGATAATCACGATGGTTTCAGAGTGTATATACGTCAACCCTGGCATTAATGAGCAAATTCCACACCTTTTATTTTTGATTTTCCAGGACCCATCAGCTCCAAGTCAAGTAGTTGTTTCAATCTAGTTGTGGAGGGTGCAGCTCAGTGGCCCATGTGGGGATCCAACTGGCAACCTTGTGTTATGAGCCTGCGCTCTAACCAACTGAGCTAATCAGCTGCCCAAATTCCACACTTTAAAGTGCGGTTTATTGTATATCAAAACACCTCAGTAGAACTTTACAAAGAAAGCAGTCTCAGGTCCTGAAGGGAATCGTGAAAGTCATAGGCCCTGAAACCTCAGCTTTATTAGTGTCACTGTAAGTCCCCTCTGTTCAATGTTTGCATTTGCCTGTGATAATATGAATAACTCTCTAAATGTGGAATTATAGACTCCGGGTTGTTGCAGGAAGGAGATGATTTGGGGATATCACCTAGTTCTGTGCAAAAGGCATCAGTCTCCGAAGCCCAGAGACTGGCGATGACCTCCTCTGCGCCGCCCCCCCCCCCAATTCTGGTTTCGGGGCACAAAGTATATTGAGGATACCTGGAGTCCAATGACAGCTTTCCTTTATCCAGATAGTCTGCAGCCAATAAAAAGTTCCTGCCTCTTTAAACTGGAAATTTCGGGTAAGGTGGCAGTAGGCTCGCAGATCATTCTCAGGTGCGCACGCAGCCGCAAAGAGGCCACAAGAGACGCCGTAGGTCCCAGTTTCCTCTAGTATAATTTGTCCCTATCAGCGACTCGTAGAGAGCCTTGGGCTCGATAACAACAGCGCTCCGGATTGGCTGCTGGCTGCGCGCTCCAGCGTGCCTAGCTCCTGCGCTGGGCGACTCGGTCGGCAGTTGCAATGTCTGGCCGGTCCAAGAGGGAGTCTCGTGGCTCCACCCGCGTGAAGCGCGAGTCCGAGTCACGGGTCAACTCGGGTCGCGTCAAGCGGGAGCGAGATCGGGAGCGGGAGCCGGAGGTGCCGAGCTTCCGGGGCAGCCCGGTGCGCGTGAAGCGGGAGGTCGAACCCGCTAGCGCGCGGGAGGCCCCGGCCCCCGTCGTGCCCGCTGTGCGAGTGAAGCGGGAGCGCGAGGCGGACGAAGACTCGGAGCCTGAGCGGGAGGTGCGAGGTGCGCGGGGCCGGGCTGGGCGCGGGCTGTATTCGCGCGTTCACTTTTTTCTTTCCAACCTTCCCGGGGGTGGGTGGGCTGTTGGTGGAAATCCACACTTTACCCGTGTCCGAGATCCGACTGGACTGCGTCTTAATGAAGATACTACTAGTTTTAATAATAACTATAGCTATAAGATTTTTAACAACAACAGCTTTCCTTTATCGAATGCCTAACGCGGGCCAGGCGTTGTGCTTATTATTTTACAGGTGTTATGTCCTTCAGTTTTTACACAACACCCGAGGATTGAGTCTTGCTGTAATTTCTGGAATTAGATTATTTAGATTTGAGAGGCTGAACTCTGGTCGCCTGCACCCTACTGCCCTGGTATCCAGACCTGTAGCAGCCAGGAGATCAGGATTCTAATCCTGTCTCTCTGACTGAGGTGCTCCTCATCCTCCAAGACTTCATAATTATGCCTCTGGTCCTGGTTATCTGTATGAATATACTGTTATACTAACTCTTAAATTTTCTTCTCAGGGTCCTGTATTTGACATTTTTGCATCACACACGGGGTCCAGAATAGCACCTTGCTCATAGAAAATGCTTGACAAGTATTCTCTGCGTAATCTAGTTAATAATTTCAAGGTGTTCTCTAATTTCCTTTACTTAAATACTCTGTCAGCCTCAGATTTCCCTTTCTTTGGAAGAGAAATTGTTTCTTAGGTATTTTGCATAGTTGTGTAGTATGGAGATTGTTTTCTCTGGGACACACTTGGATCCCAGTTGTTACTGTCTTGTCTTTTTCTTTTTCTTTTTATCATGAAATAGATCACAGGTACCAAGATGTACTGAATGTAATGCAGCAGTACAGTGTAAAGAAGAGTATGGATGTACATCCTTAAATCTGCTTGTCAAGAATTGTGAAGGGTCTGAGATTTCACCCTATTTGCAAGCTACCAAGTTAGGCTGCCTTAGTTTCATGCTCAAGGAAGACATGGGGCTGTTGGGCCCAATACAGTTTATTATTACAGTATTAACAGCCAGAATGTGGCATTGGTGGCAGTTCCCCAAGTCACTTCCCGCAATGCAGTATGAAGGGAACCCAGTTGGCCCAGTGGATGGCCCTAAGTAGAGGAACTCAGAGCTTAGAGAGCCCCAGTTTTTTATAATAGGTTGTGTGCTTGCCTCCCCTTTGTTCTGTAGGGAGATAACTATCTCTGTCTTCCAAGGTTGTTCACTATACAAACATCCTTGATAAGATTTTTTGGATGGAGTTAGTGCCTCTGTTCACAATGTGTGCAGAAACATGAGAGACCCATGGAGAATTGTTTCCTAACACTGTTCAGCTTAAGAAGTGGTACATAACTAGTACCTTGGAAGCTCCCATAGGCCCCTTGCCAGTTGTATATTCTTTCTTTCCTTGCTTAGGTAATCAGTATTCTGAATTTTTTTCTCATCACTTTTTTTTTTTTTTTTAAGATTTTTATTGGGGAATTGGGGGAAGGGGAACAGACAAGTTGCTGTCCTTTTGTTCTTCAGTCTAGTTGTGGAGGATGTTGCTTCACTGGCCCAAGTTGGCACCATCATTGCGCTCTTCCCGGGTGAGGCAGATCAGTCGCTGGCTTCTGGACGGCCGCTCACTGCGGCTGCTGGCTACACATGGTAGCACATGGCAACCCACCTGCCGTCGCTGGCGACTCCAGGTTGAGCTGTTGTTCAGCATCTTAGCTGTAGAGGGCAGTGTCACTGACTCTCACGTGGGATCCGAACCGGGGCCCTCTGGCGTCCCAAGCCAGCTCTTAACCAACACACCACTTGGCTGGTCCTCATCACTTCTGCTTTTATTATTTATAGTTTTACTTTGTATTTGATATAAATGGAATTGCACTGTATGTAGTCTTCTGATTTACCTTTTTTTTTTTTTCCTGGCCATATTTTTGAGGTACATCCAAATAGATGGCTACCTATTGTTCCATGAATGATACACCAAAATATATTTCTCCATTTTATTTGTGGTGGACATTTGGGTTTCCACTTTGGGCTCTTTCAAATATTGATGCTGTAAATATTTTTTAGTAAAGTACTCTTGGTGCGTGTGTGTAAAAATTTCTCTAAGGTATATAAATGGAGAGATTGCTGGGTCAAAAGGTCTGCGTATTTTCAGCTTTGATCTTGCTGTACTATTTTCCAAAAGGTTGTAACAGTTCTCACTCCCACCAGCAGTGCACAAGCATTCTCATTTCTCATTGCTCCACATATTCGCCAGCATTTGGAATTTTCTGATTTTATTTTTTACCCTGGTAGGTTTGACGTATATCATTGTGCAAGATTTGCGTTTTCTTTTTTTTTTTAAAAGATTTTACTGGAGAATTGGGGGAGGGGAACAGCCAAGTTGTTGTCCTTCAGTCTTAGTTGTGGAGGGCTCAGCTAGCTCAGCTCCAAGTCCAGTTGCCATCCGGCTGCCCGTCGTCAGCTTGCGACTGCTCAGCTCAAGGTGCTGTGTTCAATCTTAGTTGTGGGGGGGTGCGCAGCCCACCATCCCGTGTGGGAATCGAACCGGCAACCTTGTTGTTAGGAGCACGTGCTCTCACCAGCTGAGCCATCCTGCCACCTGTTGGCAGCTCAGCGGCAACTCAGCTTAGGCGCAGCTCACTGGCCCATATGGGAATCAAACCGGTGACCCTGTTGCTCAGAGCTCACACTCTTAAGCCAACTCAACCAACTGAGCCACTTGGCTGGCCCAAGATTTGCATTTTCTTGATTATTGGTGAGGTTGAGCATCTTTTAATATGTTTGTGGGCTGTGTTCCTCATTTTCTATTGTGTTGTCTTTTTTTTTGTTTTAATTGCTTCACCAGATTTTTTTCTATGTAATCTGCAAACAAATCATTTGTTGGTTATATGTGTTTCAAACATATTCTCTTAGTTTGTGGCTTGTTCCATTAGTGGGTTTTTTTTTGGGTGTTGCCAGGCTACCTGTATAGGAGCTCACCTTGATTAGTTTTGCCTGTTTCTTTGTTTTTACTGGTAGTTGCCCCTGAGTATGGGTTTCCCATTTTCACAGCCTGTGATACTTTCCCTTTCAGCAAAGAATGGCCGTGTGGATTCCCAGGACCGGAGGAGCCGCCACTGCCCATACCTGGATACTATTAACAGGTCAGCAGGACAGGGATGCTGAGGGCAGCAAAAGAACAGTGGAATCTAGGCAGGAAGTTCTTTGGAACTACATATTAACCTTACTATTAATTTTTGCTCTTAAATTTAAAGTGTCAGAGGACATGTTGTTTTAGGATGGCCACATGTATTAAGAGCTTGTAGCTCATTTTGAATTTGTGTGATGAGATAACGGGATACATAGTGTCAATGACAACAGCAAATTTAAATATTTATTTAGCACCCACTATGTGCTAGGTACAACTCTAGATGCCCAGGATTTGGCAGAGTAAAAAGAGACAAAAATATGTCCTAAAGCAGAGTTAGTTAACACCATTCTGCTAGCCTTTTTTCTGATCCCAGATGGCATCTCAGGATGCTTTTCTTTCTTTCTTTTTTTTAAAGGATTTTATTGTGGAATAGTGTGTTTTTCCAGGACCCATCAGCTCCAAGTCAAGTAGTTGTCTTCAATCTAGTTGTGGAGGGTGCATCTTCGTGGCCCATGTGGGGATCGAATCGGCAACCTTGGTGTTATGAGCACTGTGCTCTAACCACCTGAGCTAACCGGCTGCCCCCATAGTTGCTTTTCAATTTACACTCTAGAGGCACAAGCCACTTGTGGTTGTTGAGCACTTGAAATGTGCTTGAGGGACTGAATTTTAAATTTTATTAAATTTTAATTATTTTAAATTTAAACGTCAATATTCACGTGTGGCTAGTGGTTCCTTTATAAAAGGGTTTTTCACATTTTTATGTCCTTCCACCACCAGTCTATTAATTTGGAATGCTGTTGAGGTCCTGTCACTTTAGTCCTACTATGGCTTTTCCTACAGAGAAAGTGACTGCAATGGGATATTCTCATTTGGTTGTAAATAAAAAGAAAGAGGGTCAATGGCATCATGTGTCTGGTGGAGATGCCTTGACACTGCTTTGGGCTGGTGGGGGGAGGTGCCTTGGTGAGGAGTAGTTAATGTTGCCATGGTTTACATGTGGTTATTGCACCACTCTGCAGGATGTTGTGTGACCTCATGGAACCCGGAGCCAACGCTGCTTCACTCGGGTGCTCTCCTAGCCATCCATCCCTATTAATTGCTTTTGTTTTGTTTTGGTTCTCTTAGGAGTGTGCTGGACTTTGACTTTGAGAAACTGTGTTCCATCTCCCTCTCGCATATCAATGCATATGCCTGTCTGGTGTGTGGCAAGTACTTTCAGGGTAAATAAATGTTTGTATTATAAACTTACTAAATTGTAAAGAAAATAAGCTGATGTCAGTAGTCATGTCTAATAATCCGTTAGTTCCCAGGAAATTGGAATGCTCTTAGAAAATCAATAGGAGGTTCTCTGACTGGTTAGAACCTGAATACATATGAAAGGGAGAAAGAACTAGTCCTGTGAAAGACTATGTAGGACATCTCAAA